GTCCTCGTCCGTTTCCCAGGTTCTCCTGTGTCTGCAGTCCCTTAGCTGAGCCCAGCGTCCTCGTCCGTTTCCCAGGTTCTCCTGTGTCTGCAGTCTCTTAGTCAGAAGTGAGGCTGCAGCATCCTCCATGCTTCCCTTTCTGATGCTTTGTGTTTTGTCTGTAAATATGGAAGCCTCCAAGTCTCCGTGGTCGCTGGGGTAGGTGGTGGGGGTTCTGCCATCACTAACCAGGCACCCTGTGCCGATACCTGGCCTCATCCCAGCAGCCAGCTGCTGCCAGGCGAGTGGCTCTGCTCTGTACCCCTGCCCTCTCCCATGCCATCCCTGCACTCACCCCCATGTCCTCTTCCATGCCATCCCTGGACTCACCCCGTGCCCTCTCCCATGCCATCCCTGCACTCACCCCCATGTCCTCTTCCATGCCATCCCCGGACTCACCCCATGCCCTCATCCGTGCCATCCCCGCACTCACCCCATGCCCTCTCCCGTGCCGTCCCCGCACTCACCCCATGCCCTCTCCCGTGCCGTCCCCGCACTCACCCCATGCCCTCTCCCGTGCCGTCCCCGCACTCACCCCATGCCCTCTCTTGTGCCGTCCCCGCACTCACCCCCATGCCTTCTCCCGTGCCGTCCCTGCGCTCACCCCCATGCCTTCTCCCGTGCCATCTCTGTGCTCACCCCCATGCCGTCTCCCATGCCTATCCATGTGCTCACCCCCATGCCTTCTTCCATGCCTATCCATGTGCTCACCCTCATGCCCACCCATGTGCTCATGATGCTGGAAACAGTTTCAGTCTCTGGAAAAGGTAGAAGCAGATGAAACCATCTCTGTGCTCACCCCCATGCCTTCTTCCATGCCTATCCATGTGCTCACCCTCATGCCCACCCATGTGCTCATGATGCTGGAAACAGTTTCAGTCTCTGGAAAAGGTAGAAGCAGATGAAACCATCTCTGTGCTCACCCCCATGCCTTCTCCCATGCCTATCCATGTGCTCACCCTCATGCCCACCCATGTGCTCATGATGCTGGAAACAGTTTCAGTCTCTGGAAAAGGTAGAAGCAGATGAAACCTCCTGGAGTTGACAGTTTGATCCTGGCAGCCGTGTCTGTCAGAGGCAGGGGTGTTTCCCAGCAGCCCCCATCCACCACCCCATAGGGACTGCAAAGCCCTGGGCAGACCTAGACCTGCTGCCTTCTGAAAGCTGCTGGAAGCCTTCTCTGCCTGACTTCTCCCGATCCTCAGGCGTTTGGGACATCTCATAGTAAAACATCATCAGTTCACGAGGATCTTCGGGGTGGAGTCTAAGCTTCCCAGATTGTGAATTGGCACCTTGTTTCTCTCCTTTCTCTGGAGAGGATTTGGTTAGAAATGCGAGAAAGGGTGGCCCATGCTGGGGCTGAGGCGTTGGGCTAGGCCGGGTGGAGTATGCGTCTCTCACTGGATGCAGCCCTGCAGTGCCGTAAAGAGGGAGGCAGTGCCAGCCCTAAGGCTCAGCAGTCACTAGATTCAGGGGACAAAATTGTGTCTCCTGGTAGGAAGCCCAGGAAGCCATGCTCTGTTGCCATGGGTCAGGCAAGAAACAGGAGGAAGCGTTTTGTTCAGTGAATGGCAGAAGCCACCAGAGGCAGGCAGTCCGAGGGAGTGAGAGCGGTGGCAGCTGCCCCTTCTCCGTGAGGACCTTCTGGACTGTGGGCTTCCTCCCGTGTAGACTCTCATTTTTAGACAAAAATGAGATTAAAAGCAACCTTTTAAAATGTTGAAGTTAAGTGTGGTGTTTACCCTAAACTGAGACTGAGAAGAAGCTCACAGAGACTGACGGGTGACGTCCCATGATGACCACCTCCCTTCCCTCCCTCCATCTGCAGGCTGAGCAGCCTTTCTGGGTCAATGTTAGTTTTTTTTCTCTCCTGGGCTCACACATGCTCTCTCTCTAAGTCTAAACCTGAGGTTATTTAGGGACAGACAGTAATCCGATTTAATTTTCTGTTCTGTGATGCTTTAACCTAGCATGGACTGGCTTTGTCTCATTTAACACATGATTTCCCTGAAGTAAGACTTTTCCCTCTGGATTTAATGCTCTGAGGCTCTCTCTGCACTCAGCTGTCCTTCTAGCTCTGTGAGTCCATTTTTTTTTATCACAGTGCACAGGATCCACACATTCCAGATCATTCGAGTTGATTCACAAACAAGTGAGTGTAGCAGAGTTAAGTCAGCACCAACTCCACAGTGTGTGGAAATCACAGAGTTAAGTTAGCATTGGCCCCGAGATGTGTTGAAATCAGAGAGTTAAGTCAGCACTGGCCCCACAGTGTGTGGAAGTCAGAGTTAAGTCAACACCGACCCCATGGTATGTTGGAATCACAGTTAAGTCAGCACCAGCCCCACAGTGTTGAAATCACAGTTAAGTTAGCACCAGCCCCAAGGTGTGTTGAATTCAGAGAGTTAATTCATCACTGGGCCCACGATGTGTGGAAATCACAGAGTTAAGTCAGTACAGGCCCCTCGGCATGTGGAAATCAGAGAGTTAAGTCAGCAACGTCCCCGTGGTGTGTTGAAATCAGACTTAAGTCAGCACTGACCCCCCAGCGTGTGGAAATCACAGAGCTAAGTTAGCACGAGCCTTGCAGTGTGTTGAAATCACAGAGTTAAGTTAACACTGACCCCTTGGTGTGCTGAAATCAGAGAGTTAAGTCAGCACCTGCCCCACAGTGTGTGGAAATCACAGAGTTAAGTCAGCACCAGCCTCGTAGTATATTGAAATCACAGACTTTAGTCATCACTGAACCTGCGGTGTGTTGAATCACAGAGTTAAGTCAGCACCGGTCCTGTGGTGTGTTGAAATCACAGAGTTAAGTCAGCACCTGCCCCACGGTGTGTGGAAATCACAGAGTTAAGTCAGCACCAGCCTCGTAGTATATTGAAATCACAGACTTAAGTCATCACTGAACCTGCAGTGTGTTGAAATTACAGAGTTAAGTCAGTACTCATCCCGCAGCGTGTTGATATCAGAGTTAAGTCAGCACTCGTCCCGCAGCGTGTTGAAATCAGAGTTAAGTCAGCACTCGTCCCGCAGCGTGTTGAAATCAGAGTTAAGTCAGCACTCATCCTGCAGCGTGTTTCAGTCAACACTTGAGGGAGTTATACTTTGTGCTGACCCTCAGTGCAGAGCATGTGGGACACTGGGGGATGGCTGCGGGCCTGTGGCACCTGCCCCAACATGGCCCACATTTTTAGGCTGTTTCAGGAACTTCTGTGGGAGCCTTCCCAGCAGTCTCTGCCCTGTGTCTTCTAGGACCTCCTGGACCCCGCACGGTGGCGGATGCTGATCCAGCAGTTCCGGTATGACAACTACCGACTACACCAGCTGGGAAACAACTCCGTGTTCACCCTCACCCTGCAGGCCGGCCTCTCCGCCATCAAGACACCGTATCCTGCCCCATGGCCTGGGGTTCGTGGCTTTGGTCACATTTTAACAGGCTGACCCTGCACCTTGCCACCCTTGTGCTCCCACCACAGACAGCCCCAGGCTCCCGCATGCTGCACCTGCACAGTGTCTGGACGGGCAGGTGGAGCGGTGTTGAGGGGCCTCGGATGCCTGGCGCAGCCTTCACGCTGGAAAGAGGCTTACGTCCTCTCTCTCGTCGTCCCAGATGTGGCCATGAGTACCGAGCATTGATCTAAAAGCACAGCTTTCATGTGTTCTGGCAGCTGGGGAGTTACCATTCAGAAAAGTTTTCCCGTAGTTACCAAGAACCTTCCAGAATTTCAGTTGGTCTGCACCCTTGCTGTAGCAGCAAACTGTTTTTGCTCTCACAAAGAAAAAATACATGGCCATGCCTTCGGTAGAGAGACAGCTCCCTTCTGCTAAGAGCTGAGACAGACGCCCTGACCACAGCCGCCTGTGTGCCTCTTACTGTCCAGGTTCGGTAGATCCCCTCAAGTGCAAGACACACTCGTGGCTGGAACTACCCCTCGTTTCTCCCAGCACACCCCCAACAGCCCTCTTTTGACAGGACCAGCCGGTGACGGACTCCTTCCTCCCATGACTGATCTGTGCCCCCGTGACTGACTCTGTCCCTGCCTGCAACTGACTCCTTCCTGCCTTTGACTGACTCTGCCCCTGCCTGTGACTGACTCTGTCCTTGCCTGTGACTCCGTCCCTGCCTGTGACCCACTCCTTCCTGCCTGTGACTGACTCTCGTCCCGCCTGGACTGACTGTCCCACCTGTGACTGACTCTGTCCTTGCCTGTGACTCTGTCCCTGCCTGTGACTGACTGTCTTGCTTGTGACTGACTCTGTCCTGCCTGTGACTGTCTTGTGTGTGGATGACTGTGCCGCCTGTGACCAACTGTCCTGCCTATGCTGACTGTCCCACCTGTGACTGTCTCATCTGTGACTGACACTCTCGCCTGTGACTGTCCCTGTCTCACTGGTGACTGACTTTCTCTCCTGTGACTGACTCTGTCCCTGCCTGTGACTGTCAGCCTGCACCTGACTCTGCCCTCCCCTGTGACTGACTCTGTCCCCGCCTATCAATGTCTCTCATGTGACCAGACTCAGGCCCAGAGTGTGGTGAGTGTTTCGGGACTGCTGCTGGTACCTGGCTGTGCTGGGGTTCGAATGAGATTCAGCGCCCCTCCCTTGTCCCCGCTTTGTGGAACTCTGAGGGGAGGGCTGCTGGCTCAGCCACCGCCTGTTCTGGGTGCCAACAGAACATCCCTTCTAGGTGGCTCTTGTCTGTCCTGCCTGGAGAGGTTGCATGGGGTGGGAGAGGGTGGGTGGATGACGGAGCCATGTGGTCCGGGTGCAGGAGGCCAGGGCGGGAAGGCGTGGGCTTCTCCACCCAGGCCTCAGTGGGGCTGTTTTGCTGTGGAGGGCAGCACTTCCTTTGCCTCGAAAGATAGCCTGTGTTATCCCATGGTGTCCATTGGCCAGAATGCCATGCAGCCCGGGCACAGTGGCCATGGGCTCAGCTCACCCGGCTGCCCTGGGTGGCCCCCAACCCTTCCTTGACCTGACGCACAGACAGTGCTACAAGGAGGACGGCAGCTCCAAGAGCCCTGATTGCCCCGTGTGCAGCCGCTCCCTCAACAAGCTGGCTCAGCCCCTGCCCATGGCCCACTGTGCCAACTCCCGCCTGGTCTGCAAGATCTCCGGCG